GTAGAGTGGATACGTATTTTCAGCTAGAGAAAAGAGTAAAAAAAATAGAACAGAGTTTTTCTCACAAAGTTTTAAGCTTCTTCCACCACCGAGATACCGAATAAACCACACCATGTAGACAGTCAGTCTACGTAAAGCATTCTCTCAACAGGGCACCAGTAGCCATGGCATTCGCTCACTTTCCTTGTTTTGCTTCCATTTGGACATAGTTAAAAGAGATAAGGAAGGGAACAGTCGTTTTCTCAATTTCGCATTGGCTACACATCTTGTTACCATGTCAAAGAACAGGAATTGAATTAAAATACCTCCAGACTTGCTGCTTTAATGCAGCATTGGATGTGAGGCATTTCTCGCAATATTAGGAGCCTCTATTTCTCCACTGGATAGCATTATTACACCTTCTCTCCCTCCTCTGCCTTTATTGACTTCCAAAATGTGGAAGTAAAGCTACACAAATTCTAAACCTCATGTTCTGCAACATCTCACTTCATATATATGACGCTCTCCTTGGTTCTTGTACCTTGTGGGGGGATGATTGTGGATTTCAACACTGAAGTGTGTCGCAGTCCTGCTTATCTACGTCAGCCAAGATGTAAAATTGCAGTCCAAATGAATTTCTGCAAAAGGCATTCCTTTCTTTCCAATACTTCGGCCGCAGGAAATTGGAAATTTGCCTACAATTCGCACTTGAATTTGCAATCAATTGCTTTTCTGTGGATTACCATAGCCAATCCTCTCTCCTTATTCTTCATGGTCGTGAGTGCTATCGGTTGCGGTTTAGGGACGTTTGCCTTTCCCACATTAGTCCAGATAATTCCTCCCTTTGCCATCAGCGTAAAGACGATCCAGCAGAAAGGATTAAAATATTGTCCTCATGAGTGTGGGCTTTAGATATGCACCAATCATGGTGAAATTTACGCAGAAGCTTCACAGTAGGAATAAATTTTGCATATAAAGCCTCGAAGTAGTAGCGGGTTGCTTGCAATTACAGTTTTTTGTTCTTCTTTGGTCACTACTGCTGTCGAGATAACTATGCATGAGTAGAAAGTAGACGTTACTGCCTCTTGGTGTCCTGCTTTATGCTTCCAACCCCAGGAAATGAGTTAATTTGTAGGTATTTTCAGCGAAGGTGTTTCGGCCTCATTAAAATAGAAAGGAGAATAGTAGATGGCGAGATTGTGCAGAGTGAGACGCCTAGAATGCGTCTTAAACAAAGCAGATCTTTATTTGAAAAATGCAAAGTATCTTTCGAAATACAATTTCGAAATCGACACTCCAATCCATTCATACGAATCGCCATGTTGAGATGATGATGATGATCGTGTCAGGCACTAAAAGCCTGCCCGCGTACATTGGACTGTACGAAACCGGACAGCGGTGGTAAGCACAGTTGGTTGCAGCCAACTGCATTAATATTCAATGATCAGATAAATGCCATTTTGTTAGACGGATCGAAAATCGGAGCTGTATGACAGTTGATCAGAGATTTTCCCCTCATTGTAGCCTCGTCTACATAACGCGATGTCGGTTGAAGCAGACTGTCAGATGCAGCGTCGTGATTGAAGCCTGTGTGCTTTACCAGTGCTTTCGACCTAGGTGCTGCCAGTTATCAATGCTGCGCAGCAGTCGGGGAAGACTTGGTGGCTGTAGACTATCACACCAGGTCACGTCACATCGTTTCAGCACCAGCAGTTTCATGAAAAGCGTTGCATATATGTGAAGTCAAATTGGTCAACCATCCACTTACTATACTCACTTGAGTATGATGAATGGAGGATGATCCATCAAGGGAGACTGTTAGCAAAAGTTAGCACGGGATAGGTGATGAATAGATTATTCCATCTCTCCTTTAACAAAGAAAAGCTTTGAAACTGTCAAGTCGAACGTGTCCACATTGAATGCACTGATGGATGCCAATGCTCTTTTAGAACCTCCTATTTGTACTCCCCTCCATTAAGCACCTGCACATAGAGCGGCCAAAACATTGCCCACTGCCTGACTAATGCATTGCAAGACGACTTTTTGTCCTCTAAAGTCAATATTTATTGCCGAATGACACTTCAGCTCTGTTTCCCAAAACGTTGAATTACCCAACCCTTTAACCTCAAGTGATTGCCATTTATATCTCTCTTTTGCCGTTTGTGCATGTGCACACGTGGTGAAATGGATATTCATTGGTTCGCGCAGTTTTGTAAACCTGCCAAATGACTTGTCCAAATCAAAACTCTCTCGCATTTGTGCTAAAATGGAAAGTGCTCAGAAGCACTCATGGGCGCCAGGATCGGCCAATTGGTCAGAAGAATGTTCTATCCAAACGGTTTAAGAACTCAAATTATTTTCTCTAGAGAGCGGTGTCCAGCGATTGGGAAGGAGGGAGAGATGGAGTGGGATGTGTAGCCTCCTTATCGGTAAGCATAATCCAAATCAGATAATAACATGCAAAGTATACTAGGTGGATTTGGAATTACAGGGACCAAGGGAAGAATGTGGACGTGGCTGGTGTCAAGTTTCCACTTTTTTAAGGATAAGACGAATTCTGTCTGTATTAAAAAGGAACGTTACATTGTGATTACTAAACCATCAAAAAGAATAATCCAGGGGGCCATTTGCTACTCCAATGACAAGAAAAGACTTCGGCAAATCACAGTGGGCACGCATGCATGCTTTCTCGGCACACCGTTTACGTTACTCGGTCGTCACTCCAAATGAATACATTCTCGTACAACTAACCACGTCAGGGTTCTCAAGCCTCCGAAAATGTCCCCTCCAGGACATCACAACTACTCGTCTGCCCATCACCTCTCAATAACCCACCTTCAACACACGTCGTGACATTACATAAGCATGTCAGTCTATCCCCTCGATTTAAAGGTCTGTTGGTCATAGCCACTACACTGCCATTGCTTCCCCCCATATTCGTGATCTGCAGCACCCTCTCACCACAGTAAGAGCGCGTGCAATTTGTGTTCCACCATCTCATCCAACCAGCCTATTCGCAGCAGGAGAAGATGACATGGCGACTGGTGCACGTGGATTTGCAGGAAGATGGCGGTGGGCTGACGAGGTTTGACAACCAGACGAGGTGAAAGATAGGTCACCGGTGGAAACAGGCACCACCTATCATCATGAGAGTAGGCATCTTCAATGGCAGTGCACAGAACGCCACAGTGATTGAAGTGTTAAATGTGCTGAAAGGAGCATTCCAAGCGTGCAACGCGAAACAGGGTGAGTGTGTTTGCTTCCTTGCGCCATCACTGCCTGTGGGTGTGTGCAACAGTCATGACGTCATAAAATTAATAATGTGTGCATAAATGCCGTGACCACTTCCAAAGTGCCCACCTCACATGCGTTTCATGGCCTTCGTTAGTATTAATCAGTGTTTCATAAGTGTGTGTTATCTTCTATTTTTGGCCTGCAAGTCGATTTCTTGTTTGTGCCTTCGGGGAGATTATTTAAAGTTGGTTATATCTAAATGGCTAGCAGAGCATGGCCTGGTGATGAAGTTAACCTTGAGTTTCCTCCTTGCTGACTTATCACTGACTATAGACAATAATG